ATTATTTTAAAAATAATTAATTTTGAGATATTTAAAAATAAATATAAAAACACTCTAATAAACGTAAATACTAATATATATAATATATATTAATATATTGATTAATTTATGAACGAATAGTTTTCTGTCACCCAATGGTAAACTGCATGCACATTTTAATGGTCTCTTTCCGTCCACTTTTTTTAATTACAAAATATATACAAAACAGTATAAAATTAGTTTGAACTGTAGGTTTCCACCTTCCACTGAAGATAGATAGTCATTTTCATGTTAAATTAAAATAAAGAAAAATTATTAAGTTTCAAGGGGAAGATATAAAAATACAGCAGACTGAATGGAGGATTCAGGTGGATGTGGATGCCTTTCTTGTCTTCTTCCTATTTTTCCCCCTTTTCTCTGTTTTTTTGGGTTTGTGGGATGCTTTTATATTTGACAGAGACTTCATATGACGCCCCACATAAAACGATTGAATTACAAAACTTATTTTTGCCTTAATTTTCCGACGTTATACTAACATTACTTCCAACAACTTCAGTTTAAAACTTTAATTAAAGGTTTTTCTTATGTAGATTACAATATATAATTCTATACTAAAGCACAAATTTAAAACAAAGCATGCATAAATTAAGAAAATTTTGAAAAAAAAAAAAAAACCTTCTATTTGCATTAGTGTGGAATCCACAACTGTAATTATTTCTATTTGTATAGGATATGGTAGGAAAAAATTAACATGTTCTATTACTGATTAGAAGAAAATCATTTAAATAATTTGATAATAAATTTTTTTAGTGAAGGTGTAAGATTTTAAATTTAAATTATATGATATATAAATGGATATAATTTAAAAAATAAAAAATAATTATATTTTATTATATAATCTAAAATTAAAAAATAAAATTACATTGGTTATGCAACAAATAATTTTCCGAATGAGATGGTCCAACAAATCAGGTAAGAAAGCTTCCTGCAATCGGTACTCGCTCAATACATATTTTTCCTCAGATAAGAAATTTATTTTTAGAAGTAAGTGTCTTATTTTTTTAACTTTTGTTTTATTAAATTATAAAATAAAAATTATCACTCTAATTTAATTAATTTTAAACAACACTTTTCTATTTTAAAATTTCTCAACAAATCAGTACGGAAGAATTAACCTGTTTTTTTTAATTGATAATTGATTTTGCATCAGAGCAGAGTGGCATTTATACTTGGCCCACCTGCGGCTATGAAATTAATGTCAGAATTATTTCTTCGTGTCTTAAAGTAATTGTACGACTTATTATTCCAATTTATAATTAAAAAAATGAGCCATTATCTCTTTTGTCTAAATTTTATTTTATTTAATTATTAATATAAATAATAAAAATTTTTTTTCTTCCCTTGTCCATTCCT